CATAGGGGGAGGGGACGGGAGGGGAGGCACAGTGACTGGCCCATCGAAGAAGCTCGGTCCTGATGCTACCGGCTGACCCCTGGCCCGTATCGCCCACCTGCTGTAGGAGGTATCGCACCTCCTGGAGGCACAGTGACTGGCCCATCGAAGAAGCTCGGTCCTGATGCTACCGTATCGCCCACCTGCTGTAGGAGGTATCGCACCTCCTGGTGGGTGCAGCTCCCGCATGTTCCCTCGTTGGAGGCTTGAGCACGGATGTGGCTGCTACGGGGTTCCCCGTAATACTATAATGACAATAAAAAAAAAGGCCTGAAAGGCCGTCCTGTCCAGATTTGACAGCGAAGCCTTATAAAAAAAAACAAAAAAAACATTACAGAAAAAATCCTAGATGACAAGTCCCGCATGCAGACACCGCCCCCGACAGCACACCGACAGCACAGGCCAAACGACGGGACAAACCAGCCGGGACATATGTACAGCCCTGCCCGTGTGCAGGCTGAGTGGTTTTGAACCCACAACCTCAAACCACAATGTGCATTTCCAACCTTCCCCCCACTGAGCTATCAGCAGTACCAAGAGCTATCGGCCGTACCGCCATATCTTTTCTTTTCTCCATGTGGTGGGTAGGGGAGTTGGTCAAGTGTGTCAACGTATGTCCCGAAAGGACACGCGCGCAGCTGTCGGTTCTTGTCCTATTGGTGTGCCTGCGCCTCGCTACGCCGTCTCCGACAGAAACTGATTGCATGAGAAAGAGAGAGTAGTGCGCATCGCGAAGCAGAACACTCGCCAGAGTCGCCACATGTCTCACGAAGCCATCGCGAATCGCGGAGGAGAACACTCGCCACACGTCTCACGAAGCCATCGCGAGAGAAAGTGAGCGCATACTCGCACGAGGACCTTCCTGGATGTACTTGACTGTAAATATGGCCGAACGTAAATGCATCTGACGGCAACTACGTCCAGAGCTCAGTCGAAAAAGTCGTGCTGGTAGTACGCACTGATTGTGTGAGAGAAGACGGAGAGAGTGCGCTGATTACAACCACACGAGGGAACGGAATTGCTGTTGCCCGTCGAGCTGAGTGACAGTGGCTCTTTCCATTCGCACCAACGGATGGCAGTGTCTTGTGCAGGGAGCTGCGCCATCCTAGTTGCGTTGGATGGGGGGACCTATCGCTCGACGCACAATGTCGGCCGGTCGTTATCGAGGGCCAGGGCTGTGACTGGCGGGAAATCAAATGGAAGGTGGGGAAGAAGCGGGCTTGAGGCAGGGGCGATCAGTGGCTGGCTGGCCAGGTGGAGGGGCTTGAAAAGGGGGCGCAGAAATGCAGGTGGCGGGTCAATCTTCATCAAGGCAGCCCCAAAATGCCACGTGTACGATGGAGAACAATGGGTTGGAGGACGGTGGATCGCGGCGGATGTGAGCGATGTCCGCCTTGCAGTCGTCCAGGGCCACGGTGGTCGTGCGCCCGAGGGTTTGTATGGCTGTCACGGCTACCGGTCGCTATCCGATGTGGGCCGCGCAGGACCGGCATCGACACTCGGTCACCGTACGCCTTGCCTTGTGGGACAACAGCGGCGATCTCCGACCGTACAAGCGGTCGCAGGTTCGACGGTCGGGATCGCAAGTCTCGGCTGGGAACGGACTGAGGAGGCTGTCGGGGCCCGGAATCACCGGCCGCGGAAAAGTCGCCCTGTGGTGGCGGCAACGGGCGGGCCTGACTCCGTTGAAATCGGGGAGGGGGAAGACGCGGGACTGCCGCGGGATGAGGAGGAGGGACTCGCGGGAGAGACGGTAGAGGTGGGGAGGGAAGCCGTGGGACAAGCAAACATAAAAGGAGCAGCAGACGGGAAGGAAGGCTGGAAGATTGGAGGGGTTTGCCCGTGTAGTCGCTGCCTAGCGAGTCGGAGGTCCTTTATTTCGGGTATGGCGAAAGGCGCTAGCGTCGCCGCCACTTCATCGTTGCCGGGGATCCTGGCGAAGCCAGCGAAAGTGAGCAGTTATCTTCCTGCTGATTAAAATCGCCATTGGTCTGGTCGCTTTCTTCCCTTTCCCTTCCCTTACGCCACCTGCTGCTCCTTTCTGGTTCCCAACAACCGGTGTGATGGCGTTGCTACCGTCTTCCCCCGAGTACAACGCACGCTCATTTTGACTGCATCGGACTGCAAAGTTGGCTTGTATCCATTCAGAATCAGGGTGCGTTATGATCGCGGGAAGACGGCATTGTCACAGCGATTCAAACTCCAAAAGCATCTTCCCTTCCCTTCCCTTCCCTTCCTTTCTTTCCCCTTTCCATCCTTCTCCTCGGGCAGGCCTGCTCACACCTATTCTGAGCTTCCTCCGCAACCAATTGTCTACTGCCTTGTACTTCTCGTGCCCGCACGACTGCCCTCAATTGATGTCCTCTCCATCTCTCAGTCCCTGCCCCCGAGCGACTGCCCTCAATTTCCATCCTCTCTCTCTCTCTTTCTCTCTCTCTCTCTCTCTCTCTCTCTCTCTCTCTCTCTCTCTCTCTCTCTCTCTCTCTCTCGCCATCTTCGCTATGTACACAACACAAAATTTGTGTGTGTGTTCGGGGGGGGGGGGGAATATGCTACGTGCACACGTACTCACCAACTCCACGAATATGTCGTCAAGGGATGTTAGCCAGGTAACGACGATCCAACAGAAAACACATTTTCTTTTCGGGGGCGGGGGGGGGGGCGGGCTAACGAAAGGTGAAAAAGTAGCGGGTAGCATGTACGCTGAGCAACGGAAACTAAAAGTCCGACATGATCCATGTGACCTTTTGTCAACGGAGGGGGCATGAATGGTAATAGTCGTGGTGCAAATGACGACATTGTGAACCCTCAACTCAAAGCGATGGAGCTCATTGAAAATCACAACGATGGATGCCATTAACCATAGTACCTGGAAAACGCACACAACATTTCAAATAGCAATTAGCAAATCGCATACACCATATTTGGTACAGTTTGGCTGTAAGTGGAAAAGAACACACATACCATAGGCACGACGCTGCTGGTTCAGCAGCGCCCATTCCCAGTGCGACTATGACAACCAGACCATCCAGGAACGTCGCCCACGTGGCACAAAGGAGAGTGTGCTTGATCAGTCTCGAGGATGGCTGCAGGGTTGGCTATAGGATTGTCTGCAGTGTGGGATCGTGACCGGTAGACTGTTTGTGGGACAGAAAGATTGTCACAGTGGAGGGATGAGCGAGATAATGGAAAAGAGGGAGGGCATAATGAATGGGACGTCCAAAAATTCCAATATTAAACCGCCAGTCCAGTACCTTTACCTTTCCCCCGCGACTTGTTAACCCCTGCAACCCCTGCAACTTTCAGGGCCGGGCCCCCGATGATAAATTTCCCTGCAACTTAATTTCATGGCCTCTGCAACGTAATTTCATGGCCTCTGCAACTTTCAGGGCCGGGCCTCCGTTAATAAATTTCATGGCGGCCCGTGTTGCGCTGGCCCCTCGTGTTGCGTGGTGAGGGGGCCGCGGCCGATATATATGGGAAAGGTACTGATGGCTTAAACCCATGGACACTGGTGGTGTAAACCCCTGGGACACTACTTAGGTGGGAGCTGTCTCTATGTCACAGAATGAAATCTGCGGCTTGCAGATGCCTAGACCCCTTCCCAATTACTTTACTGACGAGATTATCAGTGCTTTCCTATTACGAGGTCCCTTTCAGGTGAGGCAGGTACTATGGGTCCTCTGACTTCCAGTAGGTACATCAAAATGCACCAGTTGGATCTGGCCCGTAGAACCTATAGGCCTTTGGACAAATTGCATCAGTTTTCTTGTCCCTATACTTCGCAATGACGACCTATTCTTGGTAAACTAGAAGCAGAACTTATCAAAAATCACCATTGTGCATTTTGGATTGAATGTCATGCAAAGACTGGCACAGATTGTTAACGGTTCGTTTGGTTTGAGGTGTCACTATTGATAGGCGATAGATCCTGTTTTGTCTCAACATCTCTTTTTGGTTCTTCAGTCAGGATGGCCACCTTAGTTTCTAGTGTGTGGCATGGCCACCTTAGTTTCTAGTGTATGGCATGACCACCTTAGTTTCTAGTGTATGGCATGGCCACCTTAGTTTCTAGTGTATGGCATGGCCANCTTAGTTTCTAGTGTATGGCATGGCCACCTTAGTTTCTAGTGTATGGCATGGCCACCTTAGTTTCTAGTGTATGGCATGGCCACCTTAGTTTCTAATGTAAGGCTCGTGGGAGTGAAACCCACAAGGCGCAAAGCACCACCACAAGTGTGGTGCATAAATCAATTTCGACACAGGCATTTCTTTCTGGAATATGTATTGAACAAGTGACACTGTATGCTCTCCAAATTGGGAGTGTGGGAAGCTCCGACCACGGACCCAACCACACCACTCAGACCCGAAACGAAGGCCATCATCAGGGTCAACCATGAAAGATGAGCAGCGGGATACTACTTAAGGTACCCAGTCCCACCTATCCAACTCGGAGCCAATCTGGACATGGGCCATCTCTATCCCTAAGTAAAGGGGACCCATCATCAAGGGCGGCCATGAAAAATGAGCAGCAGGAGACTATTTAAAGTTACCCAGTCCTACCCATCCAACTCACAACCAACCTGGGCGTGGATCACCTGTACTTTTGACACGAGACACGGAAGGCACAAGCGGAGGAGAACCATCATCAAGGCCAGCCACGGAAGATGAGCGGCGGGAGACTATTTAAAGTACCCCAGTCCTACCCATCCGACTGACAGCCAACCAGGACGTGGATCACCTCTACAGGGGAACCATGATCGAGGCGAATCATGAAAGATGAGCAACGGGAGTCTCAGACTTAGTCTATTTAAAGTACCCAATCCTACACATCTAACTGACAATCATCCACCACCTGGATCACCTCCAACTGCAACAACTTCAATATACACTATTGGAGCTGGAATTGCCGCGGCTGCTGGCACCAGACTTGTTCTACCCTCAGTGCAAAGTTTTCACTCTGCAACTTGCATGGCTTTCAGACTTTGACGTGCATGTGTCATTCACAGTTACAGAATGCAAAGTGATCACAATTGGCACAAATGGGCACAATCTATTGGGCCATCCCCCCATGGGGTGTCTGACCCTAGTATGCAAATTCACTGCCGCACCGTTGTCAGGCCGCACCTCCGAAGTGCAGGCATAATTAGAGGACTACGGACTCTACGCCAAGCTTGCAGCATGCAGCACAAGTGCCCCACAGGGGATGGCAAACTCGCGTGTCGCAAGTGCCCCTCGGGCATAGCAACTTTCGAACCCGCAACCTGTGTTGTGTTGGATCATACAGGCGCACAAACAACTTGGGCTACAGTGCGTTCACAGATTTTATCCTATTAAGTGAAAATTTTTCACACACAAGTGTTTGTTCACAGTGCAACTTGCATGGCTACCCGAACGTTATGAGCACTCACCACACTTAGGGACTGCCTTCTCATTTGGAGAGGCCATCGGTCATCAATTTGAAGACCCTTCTTTTTAATACCGTTTATTTGTCTGTGTGTTTTGCATTGATTGACTCTGAGCTAATTACGGCCAACGTTGTAAGTTGTTGTTTAGCCACCTGGCCCCCAATAGATGGGTAAGCAACTCCCATACAGTCAGTATTGAGGAGGCGTAAAGCAGAGGTAGGGGTGAAGATTCTGCAGATTGCAATGAGAAGTAGGCATTAAATGGCACAAAGGCTGCTACATACTTTCTAGCTACATCATAGTTTTGGGTCGCTCTTCTGCCTAGTCCACTCAAGTGACGTCAAATGTCAGAGGCTGGAAGTAAGTACTGAAAAGTAATAGATCCGCAGGGAAAGAAAAACAAGTAGGACAGTGAGAGTCCTCGAATGTAGTAGACCAGGGGTGAAGTCTCAATTGCACAGATTAAGAGGTATTGACAATCGATCTCCCTTACGTCGAACTCGCCTCAGTACTTGTCCGTACATAACAAACCAGATCTGAAATTGGACCTCGATAAAACCAGATTGGAACTCAGCACTTACTAGGCCCAAAAAGAAAGTCCCAGGTAAAAAATTGGGACTGGGTGCAGAAGTCCCAGGTCTAAAATTGACTCTTGAGTGTAGTCCCAGGTAAAGTCTTAATCCACCACTACCATTGCCCATGTTGGGCCACTGTCGGCCCCCCAACTTTTTACGAGGCCAAAAAGAAACGATGGCCACCGATAAGATTTACCAACGGCGCCAGTCGCTGGGCCCGACCTCTGTTTTCTCAGTAGTAGTGGGAAAAGTGCCAGTGTTCCCATTTTCCCAACGGTGGGCGAGGTAGTAGTGCTTAAAGCAAAGGGTCCAGGATGAAGGTGAGGTCGTGATTGACAAACATAGTACTAAGGAAATGTACAAGAAACGAGAAGGGAGGGGGGGGCAAGAATGAAGAGGAAGATGGTTGTGACAGGGTAAGAATTTTAAACCACTAATACATTTCCTAGCCATTTTGCAGAAACGCACCGTGCATGCTGGTGTGTCGGGCGGGATGCACTGCCGCCGTTTCGGCTGAAATCCATTCAGGCAAATGGGTTGCATGGGAGGCCCAATTTGCATGGATGGATTTCGGTCGAAACAGCACCCTGGTGCATCCCACCGGACGTGCCAGCATGCACAACGTTTTCGCAAAATGGTTGGGAAACATAGGAATGGTTTACATCACCAGGAAGTTTTTTCCCAGCCATTTCTTCAGAGTTATGGAGTGTATGCAACTGCAACTCTCTGGGAGTATTGGGTTGCGGTTTTACTGGATATCCATTAAGGTGAAATCAGACTGCACTCCAAACTTACTTTCAACATGCATACACGCGAACTGATGGCAAACCAGACTCTTTCAACTCAGAATCAACAACGAACTTGCACTTAAACTCCGTTCAAGTCAACTGTACAACTTGCGGCTATGGCCGCCGAACACTGTCTCCACCACCAGCCTCACTCTCCCTCATGTACGCATGTACGAGGAT